CACACAAATATAAATATATAGGCAATCAACTAATCAGTAGTATATATATATATGATCAATTAATCAATAATATATGTATATATATATATATATATACTGTATGCGTATTTTATAGACACACACAGTCTGCATATATACCTTTTCGGAGTGATGCTTAACGACGGTTCGAGCCCATCCACGAATGATTCGCCAACTTCAGGGGTCATTGGAATCATCCCAAGAGGTTTTCACCAGCCAAGGATGGTATACGCTATGTGCACTGGCCGTTGGGCAACATCAAAGAACAACATGGCCAAACCAAAATGCAGCATTATAGTGGTTTTTTATTGAACCTTGATTAGCATTGTTGTGCTTGTCTCAGCAGTTTTCATCCTGTTTTCATTATTTGTTCTTTGTATTTAGGCCAGGTCATTGAAGCTGAGCAACTGAATTTCCAAAATAGATTCAGGGCAGAGTCTATGATTCTGTGCTCAGGCTCTATGATTCTGGATGGTCGCCGCTACAATTTACGCACTGGGCCTATTTCCATGACTTTATGGAGAAACGCCAGGAGGGCTCAGCAGATCTAGCTCCATGGGTAAGTCCCTTGGCCAGCGGTTATCAGCACCGCTGACCAAACGTGCGACTTTTGGAAGGATGTGCCACCTGTGCATGGATAAACATGTGCAACCATTTTTATATATAATATACCAATATATATCTCTATAGTATATCAATGTATTATACCTCCATTGAAGTTCAATTGAACCTTTGAGGCTTTGGCTATGCAACCATGTACCCCGAGATGCGGCAAGCCTTGGAAAGCCGCCATCTCTTACAAGCCAAAGCTACTAGATGTTGCGCTGGGGATGGGAAGGGATGGTTTCAAGGATGGGAAAGATGGGACGGATGGATGGATACAGTAGATACTCAGTAGATAGGGAGATTGGGATATAGTAGATATACCCACAGGACGAGGGTGAGCGGAGCTAGCAACCCATTGGTTCCATTATCCCAGTGCCCGGGGATTTCCTTGTCATAACATTTCCTTGTCATAATCTCCTGGCCCCATGGAACATATACGCATACTTCTATTAGGGGTTCATTTAGGGTTTACGTAAGTTATAAAATCGCCGGGCCCCCCATGGAACATATACGCATACTTCTATTAGGGGTTTCATGAGGGCTTACATAAATTATAAAATTCCCCGGCCCCATGGAACATATACGCATACTTCTATTAGGGGTTTCATTAGGGTTTACATAAGTTATAAAATCACCCGGCCTCATGGAACATATACGCATACTTCATTAGGGTTTACAAAAGTTATAAGATGTTATAAGATCCGGAGTCGCCAAAAAGTGGAAAAGATTGAAAAAGTGGAAATGGCCGAAACGCGTGAAGTCCGCAGAGGGTTCACTTTTCTGACTGATTTTTCCAAAAATTCGTCTTAGACCACGCTAGCTCACAGATGTACCAGAGTCATAAAACACTGCGCTTGCGCAGAGAAATGAGCTTCCCACTGACGTTCATACGACCCCGTAGATATAGTAGATATGGATACAGTGGATGGATGGATGGATAGATTAGATTGGGGGGATTGGCCATCAACCGGTCCGCTGAGGTCGATGGACCTGATGGAATGTCGCCCTTCTTTCCAGGCGCGGCAACGAATCCAATACGATCTAGACACTGCTGGGTCTCTATACGGTTCAAATTCAGCTTGTGCTGAAAAGCACGCTGAGAATTTTACAACATTGGGATATATTGGGATAATTTTAAGAATGTTCCAGGTTTTCTAGGTGTTCTTTGTTTAATTCATGATTTTGGTGACCCATTTGTGGCCAATGTATGGCCCAGTGGCCCCGCAGGCGGTGCGCTCAACAACAATGGAGGCTTTTGGCTTCGGCACGCCTCAGCCAACGTTCGCTGGCGTTTGCCTCCCAAGGGTCTGGAACTCGCTGCCTTTCCCTGTGAAAATCCGGGATGCCTCCTTTGTAACTTCACCCAGGATCAAGAAGGAAAATAGCTCTCCGGCTATGAAATATCATGATGAATCTATGAATCTTCACAGTTTTCCAAATCTGAAAGTGAAATCTTGGATTCTTTGGATATTTTTTTGATTGATATCTTTGGATATTTGTTCAGCAACAGAAAATTTCAGAGCCGCCATGGAGAGATATTCTTTGTCTTAGAGCCGGCCGTTGCCGCTGACAAAAAGGACCTCCAGGCGGCCAGGCAGAGATGGTAACCGCATCACCTGCATGTTCATTGGCTCGAACATGTAAGCCTCTGCAAATAGATGCAAATAGTTCATGATAAATTGTGGCGCTGGGTCGAAATTATGTACCACAAAAAGTGGATGGTTTGATGCTGTTAAAGATGACTGTATTTTTGTAAGCCCATTGGTACCTCAAGTTTGAGTCCCCCTTGCATCCCAGCGTTTGCTGGTTCCACCCCGCTAGACATCCTTACTTTTGATGAGTGGATTCCCCACGTTTGGCTATAAAAAATGCTATGGTGAAAATCCCAAATTTGAACCGCACACACACAATGTACAGAGATTTATCTTCGCACGCATTTGTAAATCAATTAAATCATACACATGTTTACCATTTACAATCATGTTTATGGAAGATAGGGGAGCGAGATACAACGAGTCATAATACGGAAAAGCATCTCTATCCATCTATAAACCATCTATAAACCATCTATAACAATCCCCAAGTCATCACCATTTTGGGTTGTATAAACCATCCCAGTCACTGTAGGTTTACAGCAGCCAGGCAGCTGCCAAGCCCACCACTGCAGCCACCGCAGCCACCGAAGTCCCGGAATCTGGGCAGGCGGGGGTCATCCAAAGTGGGGCCGCAGAGAGAGATGAGTGGATTGAATAGATCATGTGTAAATAATATATATATATATATATCATATATATCAATAAATAAACAAAGAAATCAATAGATAACTATATATATATATCATATATTATTATATATATATTTCATTTATATATATATATTATATATATATATGTATCACATATCATATATCATATATCATATATCATATATCATATATCAATACCCTCAAGTTGGAAGGTTCTCGAATGCCCCCACCTGGGGATAAACACGGAGGGTTCTAGAATGAAAAAAATTCATTGTAGAACCCCCGGTCCCGTAAGCATTGTAGAACCCTGGAAGCTTTTATAATAGCATATGATGATCTATGGTGCAGGTTTTGTGCAGGTATTTGTGATCCCTAGAGAGCCGGTGGTTGAAAGCCATTTGCCAGTTTGATCCTCCTGTTGAAACTGTGGTTTTGGTGATTTGCAAGGCTCGATTGCACTACGTCGCAACAATATTGCCGAACCAATGCCATTCGGCACAAAAACCCAGAAGGATTATATACAGATACATGGTAGAAAAATTAACAAAATCACAGTTCAGTTTGTTTCTTGATCTCAGTACATGGTACTGACTGGGGGAACTTGTGGGTTCAGCTCAGTTTTGAAGTGGTTAGCTGTACCTTTACCTTTGCATTCACCCCAACAATGCATGGTTTTTTGAGTTTATTTTTTGCATGTTTGCTTCTTTTGCCGTCACCTGAGGCACACATAAAGTGGCTTTTGCATGTTGTGTCACAAGAGGCTGCAAAATCCCGCGTCGAAAATGTACGTGCATTTGCTAGAGATTTGCATGCATTTGGGTTGTTCTTTTGATTTAATTCCGAAAAGGCGTGGGCCAAATATTGTCTAGCTCCACATCTCTGAACGAAAGGGCCAATAGGTGAAGTGAGCGGCAAATTGGTAGGTAGAAAATTTCCCCACTGGAAACAGCTGTAGTGACACACAAACGAATTTCAGGGAAAATCAAGTCAGCTAAAACTGTGCCTGTCATCTTTTGTTCTTCTACAAGTAGACGAATGCCTGTGCAACAAATGAACATATCTAAGCTATCTAAGCTATCTCAGCTATCTAAGCATACAACAGTTCTAAAATGGTTTCCCCTTGCAGTAGCTGGTATTTCACACGTTTGGCCAAGCAGGAAACCATTCCAGAACCCTTCCCAAAGATAAATACCTCCAGGGGTAGGTAGGCAGGTACAACCCAATGCTAATGAATTTCAGTGACAATCAAGTCAGCTAAAACTGTTTCTGCCATCTTTTGTTCTTCTACAAGTAGACGAATGCCTGTGCAACAAATGAACAAATGAAAGTTACCTAAGCATGCAAATGTTCTAAAATGGTTTCCCCTTGCAGTAGCTGGTATTTCACGCGTTTGGCCAAGCAGGAAACCATTCCAGAACCCTTCCCAAAGATAAATACCTCCAGGGGTAGGTAGGCAGGTACAACCCAATGCTAATGAATTTCAGTGATAATCAAGTCAGCTAAAACTGTTTCTGCCATCTTTTGTTCTTCTACAAGTAGTCGAATACCTGTGCAACAGATGAACAAATGAAAGTTACCTAAGCATACAACAGTTCTAAAATGGTTTCCCCTTGCAGTAGCTGGTATTTCACACGTTTGGCCAAGCAGGAAACCATTCCAGAACCCTTCCCAAAGATAAATACCTCCAGGGGTACGTAGGCAGGTACAACCCAATGCCAATGAATTTCTATGATAATCAAATCAGCTAAAACTGTTTCTGCCATCTTCTGTTCTTCTACAAGTAGACCAGTGCCTGTGCAACAAATGAACAAATGAAAGCTATCTAAGCATGCAAATGTTCTAAAATGGTTTCCCCTTGCAGTAGCCGGTATTTCACACGTTTGGCCAAGCAGGAAACCATTCCAGAACCCTTCCCAAAGATAAATACCTCCAGGGGTAGGTAGGCAGGTACAACCCAATGCTAATGAATTTCAGTGATAATCAAGTCAGCTAAAGCTGGTTCTGCCATCTTTTGTTCTTCTACAAGTAGACGAATGCCTCTGCAACAAATGAACAAATGAAAGTTACCTAAGCATGCAAATGTTCTAAAATGGTTTCCCCTTGCAGTAGCTGGTATTTCACACGCTTGGCCAAGCAGGAAACCATTCCAGAACCCTTCCCAAAGATAAATACCTCCAGGGGTAGGTAGGCAGGTACAACCCAATGCTAATGAATTTCAGTGATAATCAAGTCAGCTAAAACTGTTTTTGCCATCTTTTGTTCTTCTACAAGTAGACGAATGCCTGTGCAACAGATGAACAAATGAAAGCTACCTAAGCATACAACAGTTCTAAAATGGTTTCCCCTTGCAGTAGCTGGTATTTCACACGTTTGGCCAAGCAGGAAACCATTCCAGAACCCTTCCCAAAGATAAATACCTCCAGGGGTACGTAGGCAGGTACAACCCAATGCTAATGAATTTCAGTGATAACCAAGTCAGCTAAAACTGTTTCTGCCATGTTTTGTTCTTCTACAAGTAGACGAATGCCTGTGCAACAAATGAACAAATGAAAGTTATCTAAGCATGCAACAAATGAACAAATGAAAGTTATCTAAGGGTATCGGGTGAATTTTGTCGACTGCAAGTGAAAGCGTGCATGGATGCAAAAATACTCGTATACATATCTATAGCGGAGAAATTTAAATAAATAAATAGAGATACATACATACATATATATATGCACACATGTCTTTTTAGTTTTGAGACAGTCAAGGAGCGTTCTTTCCACCAGTGTCATGTGGCAATAAATTTATATATATATGTATATATGTGTATATATGCACACATGTCTTTTTATTTGTGAGACAGTCAAGGAGCGTTGTTTCCACCAGTGTCATGTGGCAAAATCAAGAAATTCTATGGCAGCTGCTCTCCACGCCCTGTAGTACAAAGTAATACTGGGACGTGCTTTGTGCTAGCTTTGAAGTACACAGTAGTGGCCTTGGTCGGGAACAGCATCTGCGAAGTGGGATGCACTGTGAAGTGTGAGGAAAGTCTTCGCTTGGCGTTGCATTGCTCCGGGAGCGCGCACAGGTCATGTTCTTGGACAGCATCTGTGCAACAGCGTCGCAGAAAGCATGAGGTAAAAACGGTTGAGAAGAGCTTACTTAGACATGTGAGAAGACATGGGATGAGATGACAAGAGCTGACATGATTTGAGGTGAGAGGAAGTGTGGAGTGGGAAGTGCATGTGTAAGTGGGATGCACTGTGAAGTGGGAGGAAAGTGTTCGCTTGGCGTTGCATTGCTCCGGGAGCGCGCGCAGGTCATGTTCTTGGACAGCATCTGCGCACAGAAAGCATGAGGTGAAAACGGTTGAGAAGAGCTTACTTAGACATGTGAGAAGACATGGGATGAGATGAAAAGAGCTGACGTGATTTGAGGTGAGAGGAAGTGTGGAGTGGGAAGTGCATGTGTAAGTGGGATGCACTGTGAAGTGTGAGGAAAGTCTTCGCTTGGCGTTGCCTTGCTCCGGGAGCGCGCACAGGTCATGTTCTTGTACAGCATCTGTGCAACAGCGTCGCAGAAAGCATGAGGTAAAAACGGTTGAGAAGAGCTTACTTAGACATGTGAGAAGACATGGGATGAGATGAAAAGAGCTGACATGATTTGAGGTGAGAGGAAGTGTGGAGTGGGAAGTGCATGTTTAAGTGGGATGCACTGTGAAGTGGGAGGAAAGTGTTCGCTTGGCGTTGCCTTGCTCCGGGAGCGCGCACAGGTCATGTTCTTGGACAGCATCTGCGCACAGAAAGCATGAGGTGAAAACGGTTGAGAAGAGCTTACTTAGACATGTGAGAAGACATGGGATGAGATGAAAAGAGCTGACGTGATTTGAGGTGAGAGGAAGTGTGGAGTGGGAAGTGCATGTGTAAGTGGGATGCACTGTGAAGTGTGAGGAAAGTCTTCGCTTGGCGTTGCCTTGCTCCGGGAGCGCGCACAGGTCATGTTCTTGTACAGCATCTGTGCAACAGCGTCGCAGAAAGCATGAGGTAAAAACGGTTGAGAAGAGCTTACTTAGACATGTGAGAAGACATGGGATGAGATGAAAAGAGCTGACGTGATTTGAGGTGAGAGGAAGTGTGGAGTGGGAAGTGCATGTGTAAGTGGGATGCACTGTGAAGTGT